CCCCCCCCCCGGGGGACCCCCCCCACCCCCCCCACTCCACCCCAAAGGACCTTCCCCCAAGCCCGTGCCCGTGAGGAACCCCCCCCAACAAGACCCTGATCCCCCACTCCGAGGGACACCCCTGCCCATGAAACCCAGGGGACCCGGCTCCCAGCCGACTGTCGCCCTGCGGGAGCCGGGGGTGCAACCCAGGCGTCCACACAGGGGGCCACACCGATGCGCACGGAGGGGGTGGCTCGGCGCAGGGTGTCCAGGAGGGCGCTGCCCAGGCGCCGCACGTTGGCTAGGTCGTCGCGCATGGAGTAGGACATGTCCATGAGGTAGTAGAGGTCCACGGGGAAGCCCTTGGCTCGCCGGAACCGCACCTGCAGCCGCTGCGCCGCCCCTGCGCACACAGCCCGGGTCAGGGCTCGGGGTCACCAGGGCCTGGGGCGCAATGGGAGGGGGCAGCAGGGCAGCGGGACAAGCCTCTGCTCGTCTGTCTGTCTGCCCAGGCCCGGGGAACATGTGGGAGCCCACCAGGAGCCACAGGGCCATGGCCTGGGACACGCCAGCCCACGATGACATACCAGGGACACACTACCCGCATGCAAGGCAGGGTCGTGGCAAGGGACAGGCCAGCCCCCCAGTGACATACCAGGGACACACCACCCGCATGCAAGGCAGGGCCGTGGCAAGGGACACGCCAGCCCCCCGTGACACGGGACCACATGCCTGCCAGGCTGCCAGGCCCCATGGCCCCTCTCCCCCCAGCACCCCACACGCACCGGGCCGGAGGCGCAGGGCAACGCGCTGCGGGGCGAGCTGGGTGATGCGACCGTGGCTGGGGCTCAGGGGCTCATCCTCCAGCACCCGGGTCTCGCTGTCGGGCTCCACCACCTCGCCCGGGGGGCAGCCACGGCGCAGAAGCACGTCCCGCGTGGCACAGCGCGCCCCATTGCCCTCGCCCGCCTGCGGGAACCCCTGCCAAGGGCGCAGGGCCAGGGCTGAGTCAGGGGCGTCTCGTGCCCGCCACGGGCCCTGCCACCCCTCCCAAAGCCGCGCAAGACGTGCAGCACGGGCGCAGATCCTTATCGTGGCCGTTTGCCACCCGCATTTCCTGCTGCCGGAGGTGATAGACAGACAGGGGGTGCACCCCAGGCCAGCCGCAGCCTCCTCGCCCTGCCCCGCCAGCGCAGCTCTGCCTCAGTTTCCCCCAGCACGGTGCTGGCCTCTGAAACCAGAGCCAAGTGAGATGCGGGCCAACGGCCCCAGCCCCACCAGCCCACTCTTCCCGCTGCTGGGCAGGATGTGGCCTGCTGCTGTCACGCACACAGGCAGCCCCTACCCCTGCCCTGCGCTGGGGGAGCACCGGGGAGGATTTCCGGGGGGGAGGGGGCTGCCGGCACCTGCGGGGCTTTCAGCGGTTCCCAGCTCCCACGGGTGCCCGTGCCAGAGCTGACCTAGTTCCAGGCCCTTTTTAGGGTCCGAGGGGGCAGGTTGCCAGAGACAGGGGGAGGACAGCCAGGCCTGAGCTAGCAGGGGCTGGGGGGAGCCCAGCATCGGGAGCGGGCAGCACCAGCAGCATTGGCAGGGGGGCAAGGGGCTGTGGGTCGGGAGCGAGGGGCACCGGCAGGGCTGGGGGTGGAGGCAGGGGGCTCCCCAAGGGAGGGCTGGATCTGGGGAGGGCGGAGGGGGCACGTGCCCTGACTCAGCTTGTTATTTCCCCTGGCCTTTTCGTGAGAAAGACCGAGAACAGAAAGGAGAAGAGTGAAGGTGAACCTGGGGGGAGGCGGGGGGGGCAGAGGGCTGCGGGTCAGGAGAAGCACCAGCGGGGCTGGGGGCAGCAAAGGCTGCGGGTCGGGAGTGAGGGGCACCATCGGGGCAGGGGCTGCGGGTCAACATGGGGCAACAGCAGGGCTGGGATGCGGATGCCCTGTTCTACTTGCAGCCCACCCCGCTCCCCGCCACACACGCTTACCAGGTCCTTGCACCAGGCGCAGCTGGGGTGGGAGCGGATGCAATCCTGGCAGGAGGCCTGGGGCTGGCAGGCACCTGCGGGGACCGCACGAGCCAGGGGTCTCTTGCGGGCTCGTCCCGGCCACCAGCCCCAGCAGCGCCAGGGCCAAGCCCACGCGCAGCGCATCCCGCGGCATCGCCTGCGGGGACAGGGGCGAGGGGGTGTCCCGCCCGTGCCTGTGCGAGTCACACAAGGGGCTCCCACGGGCTGCGACGCCCTCGGCCGGGGCTCGCAAGTGCCCCCCTCAGGCCCATGTCCCCCCGCACCCGCTCGTTTCCTCTGCATGCAGCGTATACGTGTACGTGTGCGTGTGAGCAGCCCCCCCCCAGCTGCTCGCACGCGCAACCCAGGGGCTCGGCACAGCGGGGCAGGAAGCGAGGCCCAGCAGTCACAGCACACCACCAGGTTCGGGACTCCTGGATCCCCTCCCTGGCCCCGACACTCCCTGCCTCGGTTTCCCCCTCGGTGCCCTGGGCGGCGGGACCCAGGCTGCCCACAGGGCTGGCCAGGCCATGCCCAGAGCCGCCCACAGAAACGCCAGGACCCACCCGTGGGCGCGAGAGCCGCTCCTGGCTCCGAGGGTCAGGCAGGGCTGTCTGCACCCACAGTGCCTCGAGGCTGCAGCCGGGTGTCGTGCATGGCACGCTGTGTGCCCGCCGGAGCAGCCGCGCCCAGTGCCCGGTCCTGCCCCAGCCCCGCCAGTCTGGGAGGAGCCCAAACCCAGCACCCCGCTCCAAGCCAGCAGGGACCTGGGCGGCTGCACACGGTGCAGTACGATCCCCACCCCCGGAGCAGGGCCTAGGACAGCAGCACAGGCCTGGCCCGTCTGGCCATCGCGCTCCCCTTTCCTTCCCCTTCCTCTTCCCTTCCCCTGGTGCCTTCCTCTTGCAGCTGTGGTGCCTGCCTCGCTCTCCATTGCCCACCTCCCTCTGTTAGGTCCTGATCCCTGCCTACCCCTGGTCCCGTCTGCCTGGGGGTGGCATCATCCCTCCTTCTCCAGCCCCAGGTCTTGGCTTCCGTCTCTGTCCCCAGCCCTGGGCCCTGCCCGTGCACACTCACCCCGCTGCGGTGGCAGGTGCCTGGTGCTGGAGGCAGTAGCATGGCTGGCTCCGGGCTCCGGCCACGGACGGTGCCAGGTGAGGGGGTGGCGGCCGGAGCCTCCGATACGCGTGGCCGTAACTCCCCAGGCAGCTGCACCGCGATTTGCATCAACTTTTTGTGATAGGAAACCGCCCTGGGCCCTGCCCGTGCACACTCACCCCGCTGCGGTGGCAGGTGCCTGGTGCTGGAGGCAGTAGCATGGCTGGCTCCGGGCTCCGGCCACGGACGGTGCCAGGTGAGGGGGTGGCGGCCGGAGCCTCCGATACGCGTGGCCGTAACTCCCCAGGCAGCTGCACCGCGATTTGCATCAACTTTTTGTGATAGGAAACC